AACTTCCTTTAAACCATCTATTGCAGTGCTTACAAACCCACAGCAGCTAAATTATGTTAGCATTAGCTGACTGGCTGCTCTTTAGATCCAATGTAGTAATGACGGATGCTCTGCAGAAACAGCTGGCTGACATGTTTGAAGCAAATACACACAAGGATTGCTGCAATAAGGTGCATCATCACTTTTGAAATTTGCACAGCCTGGGTGGGTTGCAGTGATGTGTACCAAGACTGAACAGAGCAAACTACTTCTGCAAAGGGTAGTTATATCAGTAGCATTGTAGATAACACATTATTGATCAAATACTCTCAATTGCATTTAATTCATTAGGACTGGATTTGTCTTACATATCTTAGCCAAACACTATTTTCACTCTATGCTCTACTTTATATTTTTGAAGGTCAAATGTATGTGAAGCATGGCTTGCTGCACTGATACTTTAGAAAGGACCTTTGGCATACAGTTACATACATTGTAAAAAAAAAAAAAAACACCAAACACTTTATCTCTTTATACTTTTGACATTAAATACAACTCAACACTTCCACTTTAAGGTCAGACTAAAATTTTACTCCTTAAGGCTGCCAACCTTTTCACTTTTGATAAAACCCAAAATAACAAGCAAGAGATTCGGGTGTTTTGTTCTTTTCTTTTAGCTTTCTGATGTTAACATACATTAAGGGACATTTTTTTCGAAGATTCCAAAATGAAGATGTCCTGAAGATTTTCATAATGGTTTAATAATGCATTATTTCTAATAGTCCTAATATGAGCCTGAAATGAACATGTTCATAGACTCTCTCTCTTTTGGGTATTATTTTACCAAAGACTCCTTAATAATCACAATGACCGCATATTTCCATGTGTTAGCTTGCACCCAACGCTCAAATACCTGAGTGGGTTAAATAATGATTCATAAACTGCCCCTGCAATTGTTTTTCGGTTTGATGAATCAAATTTTGGGGAGGTTAATATCTACATATGCATATCCTCCTCCCAGGATTTTTCAGGTTATTGTCACCAATATAAATTCTGCATGTTCAGGAAGGCAAAAATGCTAAAAATTTTAAACCTGTTGTGTACACAATTCAGCTTACACTGTTAAGTAGATAGGTTTCTTATATGCTATCAAGTTTGCTTGTGTTTTAATGCACCAAAACATGTTTAGGATCAGGATTAGTGTCTGACATTAGAAAAACGAAACAAGGTTATACCTTTTGTATTTGTAGATATGTGGCTTCAGAAGCTGTTTCTAATCAACTTTTTGATAGACACCTTAAAACATCTTCATCCCTGAGCACACTGAAAAACAGTTTAGTCAATCACTGTTGCTCCTCAGATGTAACCATCCCTGGGTATCCATTAGTATCTATAAATAGGATTTGAAAATGCATTTACAAAGTTTAGTGTTTAATTATGGATTAATACATAACATTTACACTTTTTTAATAATCCAATTTAGAATGTGCAATTAGAAAATGCTTTTGAATTTAGATTTCAAAATGCACAATTTAAATGTTACATTTGGAAAGACTGTTTTTCTTTTTCAGTAACTCTCTAGGTCCTCCATACTCAATAAGATCTTAAAATTGGGCTGAAAGTTTTTCTATAATCTTGGTTACAGATATGTATCAGTTTGACATACTAGCAGGTTAGAAATAACTACTTCTAAAAAGTAGTTTTTTTAAGCTTTTTTATACTGTCTTAAAAAACAAAAAAACAAAACAAAAACGATTCAATAATACATCTCAAGACTATCAAGGGATTTTCTTTTTAGAGAAATTTGCTGCCGAGTGCCAGAAAGCTTGGCATGAGTCACAGGTCATGGTTCTTGCGAGAATTGCCTTAAAAGTAAAGGGTGTCATATTTTTTTCCTGGCCTGTTTCATTAGTTTATGTTTTTTATATAATTTATATTATTTATAATTATTACTTTGCTGATTTCTTTCAATAAACAAGGAAAATCCAAAAAGTTCTCCCACACACACACTGTAACTTACATAATAAGACATGTATCTCTGAACTCTTTACTTCTGTACTACACCTTCATCAGGTAAACACAGATTTTACTGAAACGTTGCAAATAAATGTTTTCTTATGCAAGTTGGGCAGTGTGCCGGAGTCATTTCTAAATTTTAATCCTTTTGCCCTCACGTTATATAGATGTGCTAAGTGCTCCAATTAAACAGAGGTACCAATACGTGTATCTATAGAATATAATGCAAGATAGGGCTTTCAATCATTCGTTTGGATTAAGTCATGTTCCTCACAGCTGTTGGTTTGTATTCAGTGGCCCCCAAGGGCAGTGGGTCCTGAGGACCGAGTTTGAAAAACCACTGAGCCAGAAAATTGTGCACCATCATATAATTCAATGTCATTTTGTAATCCTGGCCTCTATGTTGCTTTTTAAACATTTGATATTAATAAATACAGAAAACGAAATACAAGGTAAGTTTCCCTCTATATATAAACCTATACAAGCTACACCACATAACTGTTTAATGCAAAGCCCTTGGTGTTGTCAATGTATGCTCCCTGTCATTATCTAAATTCCCAATTCCAGGTACGATAGAAAAGGTTTTTTTTTGGAAATAACCCATTGTTAGTCATAAAGGCAAAAAAAAAAAGGCTTCGATGACCTTTAAGAAGTGCATCATTGCTGCATGGCTTGCTGCTATTATTTTTACTGACTGCCAATCTCTTTGTGATGCTGCCCTCTAGTGTTTTCTAGTAAGAACTGTGACTTTGCTGTTGCTGAGCAAAATTAAAGGGATTAAAAATTTAAAATCATACAGCTGCATGGCACATTGTTCATTAGCCAAGACTATTTATAACTGTTTTCAAGTAACACTAAAACTGAAAGTATGAAACATAAATAAATACTAAACAGTCTTTGTTGTGTCTTGAAAAACCTTATATAATATAATACAAACCGTATAGAAAGTGTACCTATATTTTAAACAGGAAGTTGGCACTACTTTTTGTTTATGAGCTAAATGTTAGTATACCAAGGTCTAAAGGTTAAACGTACGTTTGGCAGATTGATATTTGTGTTCTGAATGAACAGTAAAGAAGTTCTTTACTCTATCTCTGGATCCAAGTCATCATTTAATGCTGATTATGTAAGAGAAGAGACATAACAGTCTTTAAATTGTTTTTAAAAAGTACATAACCTTAGTCACTCTCAAAGAAATAAAAAGTTTTCATCTGATGATTATTTTTCTGTCTTGAAAATATCAATAATTTTCATTCATTTTAATTTCAGCAGGTACTAAACATAGTTAGGTCCACATTTCTGTATTGTCGTATTGGTCACATGTAATATAATCATAAAGGTCCTGTTTTCATTATTGTAATTGGTATAATTAATAGAAATAAATTTACTGAGTTAAGCAGGTTACTGAAGTGAAAATTACCCTTTCAAAATTATTAAAAGACCACGGTATGTTGATGTAGAAGTTTTTCAGCTAAGAGAACGCTTGCCTTTTTTTTTTGTTTCTAAGTCAAAGTTTTTTTTTCTCTTGACTTCTTTTTTTTAGTAATCTTTTTATTGACTTCACCTAATAAATTCATTCTTTATGTATCCACATTCACAGTGGAGAGATGTTTTTACTGCTTAATACTTTGGCAGAGGAATACATTTTTAACGTAAGCACATTCTGCAACTTTTGTGTTGTCAGCTTTCTCCTCCCTTTTTTGAAATTAAAATGTTTCCACTTACAAGCCTGACCACAAAATCAAGCAGGAAGTTATAGAAATATCCATCCATCCATTTTCTATCACACTTATCCCAAGTGGGGTAACAGGGTTGCTGGTACCTATCTCCAGCTGTCTAAAGGCGAGAGGCGGGGTTCACCCTGGACAGGTCACCAGTCCATCGCAGGGCAACACAGAGACAAATAGAGCAAACAGCCATTCACGCACTCACTCCTAAGGAGAATTTAGAGAAGCCAATTAACCTAACAGTCATTTTTTTGGACTGTGGGAGGAAGACAGAGTACCCGGATAGAACCCAAGCATGCTCAGGGAGAAAATGCAAACTCCATGCAGAAAGACCCCAGGCCGGGAATCAAACCCGGAACCTTCTTGCTGCAAGGCAGTAGGGATAACCACTGCCACACTGAGCAGCCCTATAAAAATATGATCTACGTCATTTAAAATGTGGTTGAAAAAAAAAAATAGCCATTTATCACCTTATGTTTATCAGACTGAAAGATAGACTGGGCAAAGGGCTTATTAAAATGTTTAGTGAATAATAAACCCAGCAAGTAGCTTTTAATGGCAGTTTATAAAGTTTAATTATAGTGCCTTGTTATCTGGCCAATCAAATCTGATTGAGCTACATTTTTTGTTGGTTTGTGGGTTTATGTTGTGGTTTTAATCTAATTTTATTTTTCAAGAGTAAGAGATAGTATGACATTACATAGGTTGAGTGGTTGTTTTGTGGTTATTAGCATGGTTCTGTCAATCAGTGGATTACTTAATAATCTGGGTAGAGTCCCATTCAGTCTTAATTATATCTACATATGATAGTGCATGTTTAGTGTGTTGATACACTTTGATATTACAAGGGATGTATGTTATGTAAGGGGTTTGGATCATTGATTCACGGTGATCTGCCATTATAGAACATTATGCCACTGACCATGTAGGCTTAATTGTATGCTTTGCATCATAAGCGCGTTTAAAGCCATGCTGATTCATTTAGATTAAATAAGGTGTAATGTTTATAGGGTCCCTTCCTGCAAACGTAAATCAGCTCAGTTGATACCAGAGAGGATAAGGTTTTAATTGTGGCCTTAAGAAAATAAAATTAAATAAATAAAACCGGTTATTTTGGTTACATTGTTTCATATTACATCAAGCCCCCACGCATCTGTTGGTGCCGCATAGCCGTGTTTCTGTGGCACAGTGACTGCTTTTAGTGGAAAAAAGAGTTTTTTTGCACGGCATCATACAGGCTAATTGTTCCGCGCAGGTTTGGCTGTTTTTGCGTCTTACCAGAGAGCGAGAGCATCATCAGCAGCAGCGCGCTCAGCAGCTGAACGCCACATCTCCTCTCCTGTTCGGGCGAAGACATGATTTTCATCCTTCCCATCAAAGTCTTCTTATATGCTTATGAAAAACTAATTCAACAGAGCTCGATGTACCAAAAAAGATCGATGACGGAACGAACGTTTAAAAGCTAAAAAAAAAAAAAAAGGAAATGCACAATATTTTTTATTTTTCAGAGGCAGGACGTGGCTGGCAGTGTCTGTAGCCGTGCAACGGTTGATCTTATGGATGTCGGTCGCTTGGTTGGTGTAGAGCAGGAGAGAAAACAGAGAGCTGATTTTAAGATGGATGCTGTCTCTGCCTGGATGTTGGAAACACATTTTTGAGGAATTGAGGAGCTTTTCTGGAACTCGGTGTTACACTATACACTCTTTAAACAAGTATTTACATCTATGTCAAATCAACATCTTAGAAGTGTTGACTGTTTTATAAAAAACAAAACAACATTTTGAATGGTTTTTCATAGTGTTTTTAATTGTAAGATATACTATTTTTTATTTTCTTTTTGGCAAAATAACACTCTTTATTGTATTTTCTTTTATAAGCCTCCCAGTCAAAAAAGGTTAAAAGACATTTTGGGTGAAGTTACATACTTAATCCTAAAACAAGGTTACCCATTAAAAAAATGTTGTAAAAATAAAAAACTGTATGAAGTATATGAACATATGGTGGTGAAGGTTCCCAAACATCCAGGTCATAGCCATTCCAAAACAATGAAAAACAGTGCGGTACAATTTCACCTTATGGACAGAGGGCATTCTGTTGAGGACCAGAATGTTCACATGTTGGATAAAAAAAAAAGGTGGTTTGGGAGGGGCGTGAAGAAAGCCATCTATGTTAATAAAGAAAAACAACCTTCAACAGAGGGGGAGGACTCAGGTTCCAGCTTTCAAAAACTTACAATGCAGCTATTGATTTAATCCCTTCCTGTTATCATCGCAGCCCCACCCCCTGTACAGGAGAGCGGAGGACCACATCTATTCAGCCAGGCCAACAATCCCCTTTTATGACCGACATTTCAGACACTTAGATGGGTATTGCGTATTGTAGTCTAACAAAAGAAGCCAAACGACCCCCATTCCAAATGGGTGGACCCCTTCATCTGTTCCAATTCGCATGTTTTCAAAACAAAAACAAGACTTTGTTGGGCTACTGTATAAAACCTCGAACTAAACGCTATTCCAGACATTTTTAATTGAAAAGGCTTCCTGGATGGGAAGGGAAACGTCTTCAAGCGTTGAAACCAAGTCTAGTGCATTGTTTTTATTTATTTTTTTTGGATATATATGAACGTATTTTGTTTTGTATTTGTTAACACAAAATTATATGATAAATTAAATGGTATAACTTAGGTGATCAGATCAATTGAAAAATAAATAACAGACAAAACAAGATCATATCGTGCATGCTTGTTAACATATTAAAATATGGAATATATTAAATGATAATGAAAAAAAACATAGCATACATTAAAACCTATCAAAATTCTGCTGTGACCTATTGATAAACAGCAAGTAGCTTTAACTGTGGTTATGCAGCTGGCTCAAGTATTCACATTTATGTCAAATCAAAATCTTAAAATTTAAAGTGCTTCAGAAATGAATGGATGGACACAAATGATAAGTGTGTTTTAGTTTAGTATATTAGTTCGATAAAACTATTAAAATAATCATAAATTTTAATATTTTGTAAAATTGCTTTTAATCGTTTGACTTGGAACAAACAGTTTGGATGTCATTCATCAAGCCTCCCACATTTCTAGTATTTTCTGGAACTGTATCCTTTGGAAGAAGCATTTATTTAGAAAAATATCCTCCAGGTTAATGCTTTCATAAGATTCTTATTTAACATTTCCACACAAATTCTTATGTTCTATTCTCATCATGCAAACTATTTCCAGAGGTGTACTTTTTACCCAGTCTGCAAGTTATTTCCTTTCAATGTAATCTTGGTACATATGGCCAGTCCAACCAAGATGTCTCCAAAAATGAAACTTTTAAACTTTGTGTGTATTTGCAAATACATATAATAAGGCTTTTATGTTGTTTCTGGAGAAATAACTCCTTCTCTGGCCTTGCAGCATAATAGCACAGGACTCGTGTGACAGGAAAAAATAACAGTGTAAATTAGAAGCCTAAACATGGTATTCTACTTTTGCTCTGACTTAACACCAAAACGTAACAATTTCTGGGATGCTGATTTCCTTTCCATCCATAACAGGATGGATGGGTTAAAGGGTATGCTCACATGTTACTATGTGAACAGATACAGGTAGCACCATTATGCATTGATGTTCCAGATGATGAAACAGAGTTATGGAGGTTCAAAATACTTTTCCTGATAACTTCAGTTAAGTAATAGAGGTGTAAACAACAAGCGTGAAAAATATAAATGACAAAAATTTGCAGCACTACTTCTTTGTGTAAGAACACACTAACCAAGCAGAAGCAAGGTGGCGTGCAGTAAAACACAAAATTAAACAGCCCATCCCCAACCTTTAATCCTTTACATACTTCCTGGATGAAACACAGAAGGATAACATATTGTTGTGGTCTGGCCATAATGGTTTCATTTGGTTCACATTTTGCCCATTTCATTACCCACCACAGACAGCATTCGCCCACTCAGTTGTTTATCTTCGAAGTGTGTAAAGCTGGGATCATGTGTAACCACAAATCCCATCTTGTGATTATATATATATAAAAAAAAACTTAATATGGAATGAAAAGGCTTTAATACAGAGGGAGTTTAATATGTTTGGGAATTGTAGTGAAAACTGTGGTATGTGTACCTTTCAAATATATAATTGTGGTTAAAAATCATAGTGTTTAAGTTGATATTCATGACCAAAAAATTAAATCCACAAATTAAATACTGAAGAAATATCCTTCATAATCATGCATTAACAATATGTAAGCATTGAGAATCTTTTTTTGGAAATTGGTTAATATCAGACCTATATGCCTAAAACTGTTAACCTGACTCCGCCAGATGGATTTGCTCCGCATATCCATCCGGAAACCTTCGGTTGAAGTAATTTTGGGAAGGGGCGAAAATACTGGTTAGGTGATTGGCCTATGTTGGTGATAGATGGGCCAAATAAACCAATCAGATCAACGAAGCATATGACGTACTAACAACCAGGCTACTCTTGTCGAAACCAGTCGGGAGAAGAGCAAAAACATCTTTTCCTCTGATAAAAGCCTCCAGAGCAGTGTTTTGCTCTTCTTTCAGTGAAGAAATACTCTGTAATTCCGAAAAAACTTGCTCGATAGCCACACTAACGCTAGTTTCATCGGCTGAAGCCGCCATGTTCTTTAGACTGAACTGTCGTGCTTCTCGTTGCGTCACACCTCAACCCGCCTCAAAGCCAACACTGATTGGACGTTCGTTTGGTGAACGGCTCCAAATTTTCTTCAACGGAGAGTCTCCAGACTGATTAGCGAGTGAAATCTTGAAAGCTCACGAGATCAGGATGGTCTCACGAGGCTATAAAACTGTATTAATATATGTATTTTCTTGAACCCCTTAAGTCCAACCATAAGCCTGTAATGTTTATGAAAAATACACGTTAAAGGCTACATAAACTATTCAAAGAGAATAAATATTTTGATAGTGATGTGCACAGATGCATATCCCTGCTCAGTGCTATAATACTGATCTTTAGAACGACTTACTGGATTGCATTATAACTGGTTTTATTTGGTTTTATTTTAGTATTCCTATAGTTATTTCACTAGTTATATCACTGTCTATGTATCAGGTCTTTCTAGTAAATAAGACTTTAAGTCGAGCCAACGATTTACCTGTATAAATAAAGGGTTATATAAATAAAATGACATGATAGCCTGTATGCTTTCCCTGCATGGCTAACAGCATAGTTCTCATATGAGTTCTTGATTAAATATTTCTCATTGGTCTGTTGCCTGATGATAATGTCTTGGCTGGCTTGTAGGGTCCCGCCTCCTTAATCCAGATTTTCTTCTCTTCTGTTCTTATTACAGGTGGGGGAATCTATAAAATCTCACTGAATTTGGTGGAAGCTGTACCTCACTTGTTGAGTTTGCTACTATCCCTCCAACTGACGGACTGCACTGCAGGGAGAAAAATACCCTAGTGCTCCCTATTGGCCAAACATCACTACTTCTATTTGTTGCACCCTGCGAACACTTACTTCAGATGTTTCTTGTCTTGAGACTTTAAGTTTAGATTTAAGCATTAAAATTAAACATACAATTAAAAGGTGTCATTTTTTTCAGTCTAATCAATACTTTTTGTCTTCAACTTGTTTTTTTCATTTTTCTTTATTGTAAAACATATAAAAGTTTTTTTTTTCTTTTGGCAAAATAATGCTCTTTAGTAAGTCTCCCAGTCAAACAAGGTGTAAAGACATTTTACGGGTAGTTACTTAATCCTAAAATAGTACCATTATGAAAATTACGTTGAATTGAATTATAAAATGGGGTCTTTCTACGTGGAGTTTGAATGTTCTTCCTGTGCATGCGTGGGTTCTCTCCGGGTGCTAGCACCAGATAGGAACCAGCACCCCTCGCAACCCCAGTAGGGATAAGCGTGAAGGAAAATGGATGGATGTATTGATGGATGACTCCTCATTTAAAGACATGTATGATGTGATGATTTGGCAGACTGGAGTTGTATAAAATGATTCTTTAACTGTGATTCATGGCCGACTTCAATAAGAAGGGAGCATGGTTCGTAAGCGCTGCCTCCTGTAACCCTGAAGCAAATTTTCTGGTCGGAGTAAGATTACAATTTATGTTAAAATCTGTCGTCATGTCTCATTGTTATTACATTATGAAGTGTTATTTATAGAGTTTGTCCCAAGTGATCTCTTCGCAGGAAAGATTTGGGGAGTGAAAGAATCAAGGTGTAAACACAGAGCTTACTTTTTACAGTATCCTACAGTAGAGGCAAAAAAAAAAGAAAAGGAAAATCCAATCCACAATTGAACTAAAGTTCTCTTTAAAAGAAGAGCAATCAAGTTTGCAGAGCAGCTCCAACATGCAATCACCTTAAGCAGAACAACTCATAAATAAATGAATAAATAGATCGATTGTCTGGCAGTTCAATAAATAAATATACAGCAAATTAATTGTATATAGTCGGCTAAAAATAAAGGTAACATGCAAAAAACACAGTATAAATGATTAAATGGAACTGCCCAATTGCAACACCGAATGATAATCAATTTCACAAGCTGTCATG